AGAGAGATTAAAACAAAGCTTGTCAAAAGCAATTCCAATGAGAACAATTCATGAATACTTAGCAGAGATGGAGCATACCAACCTGAAGGTATTTCACGTACCCTTACCTGCACAAGTGTATCCAGCGTGAAGATGTGCTCCCCTCTAACATTGTAGAACTTGACCATAGCACTCTTCAGAAGGGGACCATTGGGCAGTTCGCTGAGCTGGGTCTGTCGCTCCATGCCAGCGACTGCCAGCAAGTCTCCCTGTGTGCACCACTGGGCCACCACCTCTGAAACCACACAAAAGGGTTGGTTAGCATGAGGGCATAGTCTTCCTTAAATGCCACTCAGCCATATCCCTATGTGTCTTCAGTAGTTTAAAACACAAAGCCCCTAAACAAACTCAACAGTGGCTCTTCTTTACATTTCTTTGAAGATAATAATGCTCTATTAAAAACAAGTGTTTGTTACATGAATAAGGATTGCAGTTCCCTTTGAATGCAACCAATTTAGGTTGAAACCCAGACCTAAGAGAGTTGATATGTTAAAGCCAGGTGTAGCAGTACATGCCAGTGAACCTGGCTACTTGGGAGATTAAGGCAGAAGAATTCCAAGTATGAGGCCAGCTTGGGCTATGCAGCAAGACCTAATCATTAAATAAATAAATGCTGACATGTTAAATATCTACCTCTAGTATCAACATTTCTATAATGAAATTATGGGACTTCTAAAAAATACGTTTTATTTGTTATTTTTATTTTATGTGTATGAGTGTGTTGCCTGCATGTATGTGAGTGCACCCATGTCATGCAATGCCATGGAGGTCAGAAGAGGGCTTCGGATTCCCCTGGAACTGGATTCCCAGCATGTGGGTGCTGAGAATTGAACCCAGGTCCTCTGCAAGAGCAGTCAGTGCTCTTAACCACTGAGACATCTCTCCAACCCTGAAATTATGGGACTTTTTAAAGTGTAAGACCCATGACTGTCGTGTTACCTCAGCACCTTCCCACTGCTGTGCCCTTCGCTCTCACAGAGGACAGAAGAGTTTATTTATAAATGCTCAAAGGAAAAAGTAAATCAAAGCAAAGCCAAGTTTATTCATTTGATGCTTGGGCACTACTGGGCCCATAAAATTCAGGTGCTGGACATACAGGCATAGAAGAGCTGACTTTTGAGAATTGATGATGATATGGAAGCTTAGAAAGAAAGAAGGGCATTCCTGCTGGAGTAGGTGGCATTACTAGAGACATTCTCACACTGGAGATGAGATGCTACCTGCAAACAACTATTAAATGGTTTGTCTTACCCTAGCTTGAACAATTGCCTATCTCTTGCTGGTAAGATATAAAAAGCTATTAGTATTAGTAAGATTCACAGTTTTCTTTTCCTCCCTCAAGACCTTAAAAGTCATCACAGATCTATGAAATCCAGATCCAAGCATGGAGTCAGCAAAGGCACTCTGCCATGACAGCTACATCTTTCAGAACCCAGGGCCAGAATTCAGTTCCTACACTGTACTAGGTCACAAGTAAACAAACTCGTGATGGAAATTCTTCCCATGATAAACCATGCATTCTGCAGTCACTGAAAGTTCTTTCATCTCCTGGAAAAACCAGAGCATTCCCTGAGGCAAAACAGTCCCCAGCCTGAAGCTTCCTCAAGTCAGTCACAGCAGGAACCGGGAGACAGAGGGCTAAGCTGAAACCGTGCAACCATCCACAAAAGGGCTTTTACAATATGAGTTAAATGCAAACCAGAAAATAAAAAAGCAACTTAAAAAATCAGGTAAATGTCCTGGTGGTTAAGATTTTCAAGACAACAGGAGGAGGAAGCTAGAGGCACATGAAACTGTGGTCTGCACTCTCCAGGCCAGATCTTGTCTAGAGAGAAGCCTGGTCATGGTCATGAAACTGAAAGGACCTCTGGACGTCAGCAGTATGCACAGGAGGAAACCAGAAAAATGTCCTAGCCAAGCAGCAGCAAAGCAGAGGCCGGCAGGAGCCAGGACAGCAGGAGGAAAAGATTAGGTTTCTAAGGCTCCTCACACAACCTGCCTTGGTTACAGGGTGAGTGATTAGCTGTACTACTCTTTCTTCTTCTTTTTCAAAGTAGAAAGCGGCTGTTGCCCCTGCAGCCCTGGCCTGGATGCTCACTGCCTCCATGGCAAGCACATGCTGAACACTCACCCGGGTCTGTCAGCTGGAGGTGAGAATGAGTCCAAGTCTTTATGAGCAAAAGCCTCAGGGATTTCTTTAATGCAGTTGCAAAGTCACACTGAGAGTTGTCATCTGTAAAGCTAAGTTACTTTCTTAAAAAGAACAAATGCCCTATGAACACTGCCACTTGTTCTGGTGATTACAGCACTAGCAGCTTCAAGGGATGCCACAGCAGATGCAAGCTCCCAGCAGTTAGGAGAGACCAGTCCTGGTACACACGGTGCACAGGGCTACCTTCCGAAGCCTGGACAAGGGGACTAAGAAAAATAACTTACAATATTCCAGAGTTAGTCAGGGGTACTAAGTATTCTACAAGGGCTGAGTTCCTGAGATTTTAGTTAAAACCATCACAAACTGTCAGGGAAACAAAAATAAAAGCAAATAGTCATTTGATTTCCAGATGACAAGAAGAATACAGATGCCCAGGTGTCAGTGGCAAAGAACATTCCTTTAATAAGCTTATTATTTCTACTTTTACTTATATGTCTATGAATGTGTCTGTGCACACCACACATGTATGTATGTATGCATGTCAGTGTGTATGCCTGAAGAGGCTACAGGAGGGCACTGGATCTCTGAAACCCGCAGTTACATACAGATGGCTGTGAGCTGCCTGATGCGAGAATTGGGAATTGAATTTAGATCCTCTCAAAGAATAGCAAACTCTTTTTTTTTAAGAGTTTAATAATTTATTGTTACTTTTTATACATGTAGGTGTGTACTCCTGTGTCATGCAATGCCTGCAGAGGCCAGAAGAGGGCACTGGATCCCTTGGAACCAGAGTTACAGATGGTTATTAACCATCATGTAGGCACTGGGAACTGTACCCGGGTCCTCTGAAGGAGCAGCCAGTGCTCTTCACCACTGAACCATCTTTCCATACCCTAGGACAGAACATTACTTATTCAGATTTTTTTTTTTATGTGTAGGAGTGTATTACCTGCATGTATGTAAATGCACCTATTTCCTAGAATGCCTATGAAGGTCAGAAGAGGGTGTCGGAGCCCCTGGAACTGGAGTTACAGACGGCTGTTAGCCGCCATATGGGTGCTGGGAATCGAACCCAGCTCCCCTGCAAGAGCAGTCAGTGCTCTTAACCTCTGAGCCATCTCCCCAGCCCGAGATTTTTTCTTTTTTTGGTAAATTATGCTTCTTTCACTTAAAAAACAAACAAAAAAAGCTTCAAGACTTCTTCCAAAGAATTCTCATCATAATTTTGCCTAAATTTCTTAAGATTTTATTTAGAATATAACCTAGAAGACACTAACAAATGTCATTGGCACAAGTTTCTCTTTTGCTTCTGCTGAACCTCTTGGCAGAGACAAGTCTAGCTCTGACTCCCTGCAGTACCTACTTTTCTGGAAGGTTTGCTTAATGTGGGAGGGCCTAGACCATTGTGAGCTGTACTACACCCTGGGCAAATGGTCCCAGGCTATATAAGAAAGCTAGGTAAGGGGACTGGAGAGATGGCTCAGTAGTTAAGAACATTGGCTGTTCTTGAAGACCTGGGTTCGAATCCTAGCACCCACATGGCAGCTACAACTGTTTGTAACTCTAGTTCCAGGAGATCCAATGCCCTCTTCTGACTTCCACAAGCGTTACACAACATAGATGCACTTACATACACGCAGACATACACATAAAATACAAAAAAAAAGTAATAATAAAAGAAAGGTAGGTAAGCATCAAACTGAGCGAGCTACCAAGCAGCACTAATCCATGGTTTCTGCTTCAAGTTCTTGCTTGACTTCCAGCCCCGACTTCCCTCAATGAAGAACTGTGGTCTCAAAGTGTAAACCAAATAAACTCTTTCCTTCCCTAAGCTGCTTTTGATCATAGTGTTTTCCCACAGCAACAGAGATGAAAATCAAATACTCCTGTAAGGATGACTTTTATAAATGGACATAATCTGGACTAATGACTTTTAATTACCGCCCCCACCCCGCAGAATCATGTGTTCTTGTGAACTAGGCATCTGATCTCATTTCCTTGGCAACCTCAATTTGGTACTCCACCCCAAAAGAATATGGGTACACTTGAGAATTAACTTACTGAAGTGCTGAAACACTGCAGCCATTCTCGGGGCACACAGTGAAGACTGGGGAGGTGCCTGACCTTGGGTGGAATGAGATATTCTAGAACTAGGGATAAAAGGCAGGATGGCCTATTAAGATAAGAGTAGAGCAAAACTTCTAATTCCCAAATTGAAGCTATAGAAACCATTAGTTCCAGAAACAGGAGTGCCAGGGACAGTTCCAACAGCACAATTCCAGGAGACAGACTGGTTCCATGAGATACCGGAGGGAGTAAGTGTCTTCTGAGTTTGGGCCCACTCTTAAAAACTAAATTTAAGAGTCAGACTTTTGTGGCCAGGCATGGTGGTGCATGCCCTTAATCCCAGCACATGGGAGGCAGAGGAAGGTGGATCTCTGGAAGTTCAAGGCCAACCTGGTCTACACAGTGAGTTCTAGGAAAGCTGGAGCTACAGGGAGACCCTGTGTCAAAAAAAAGCCAGACTTTTTTTTAGGTAATTGTAATGTTGGTGTAGTAATACTGCACACTCCTTCAGCCTGGCAATCTTATGGATCTTTTCTGGTAAAACTCCAGAGGATCAAAATGCCATAGGTAACAAGAAATACAGCATTTCATAAGCACTAAGAAAACCTGTGTCATTCTGGTATCATTACAGGTCAAAAAGAGGCAGCCAGTAGCATCAGCTGGGGGGGTCTGAGGGCAACACAGTTCTTAACTTTTAAGTCCTCTTAATTTTCTCATCAGCTGTCTTTTTATTAGCTAAGGGATATGTGTATATATGTGGGAATGTGTGCACACATACATGCTGATGTGGAGAGACGGAGCAAAAGAGAAGAGGGAAAAAAGCCAAATAATTAGCAAAATGTGGTAGCGAAATCACAAGAAAAGTGTTTTCTTTACAAAGGAGAGTTCAGTCAGCAAAGTGTTGTTCTTGCCCGAGGTTCAGTCCCCAGAACTCAAGTAAAAATGGCAGTGTGGGTGGTGACACGTGCTCGTAATCCCACTGGTGGGGCGGTGGCAGACAGCAGACTTTAGTGGTCGCTGGTTAGCCAGCCTGGGCTAATTTAGGGCACACTGGGCCAATGAGAGCCCCTACCTCAAAGAAGGTAGCTAGTATTCAGAGGATGACACCTGAGGTTATTCTCTGGCCTCCACACACACCGGTGTGCACACCAACATATACATATCCATATGCACCTGTCCCAAACACATTTTTTTTTTAGGGAGCAGAGTAAAGACTGAAAAGTGATTGCATGCAGGCTAGAAAAGTCAGCTTCCCTGTGATATCACCCACCTAGAAAATTCTTTGATTCTCAGAGAGCTCAGGAACAATTCTGCAAAATGAACCAAGAGCTGCTGCTGTTTCCTGACATATGTGGGATGCAATGTGAAGGGCCTTTAGAAGCCGGCTTTACCACTGAGAGACGTGTTTCTTGGGTCAGAGACCACAGGAGCTCATGACTCAGGTATTTTTAATTCAAGAAGGTGAAAACCACATAAAAGGTGAGACCTGAGAGGGAGTGAACCTGTTTCCTACTTCGAGTGTGATGAGAAGTCCAAGTTTCTCAGTGGACTTCTTCCCAAGGCAGAATTTTATCAGTAACAGCTGCACAGTGAAATCAGACACAGACTCTGGTCACCACCAGATTTGGCAGCAAAAAACCACAACAGTGGCAGATGGTGTGGAAGAAAGCTGGTCAAGGGTCCATGGATGGTCTGACTCTGCCCATGGCATAAATACAGTGCTGGCAATGAAGGCATCATGGGTCACCTTCCTCCCTTGGAAAAGTTCTTGAAAAAGACAATTCAAAAGACCCAGGGAATGAGAGAGCTTTCAGCTGTCCTCATAAGACCCTGAAGGGACAAGAGTGTTTTCCCAAAGAACCCACCAAACTGGGCATGGTAGTGCACACCTTTAATCTCAGCCTGGTCTACATAGTGAGTTCCAGGCCAACTGGGGCTACAGCTCAAACAAACAAACAAAAATCCAAGCAAAGAAACAATCAAAAACAACCAACCAACCAACCAACCAACCAACCAACCGCCAACCGGCCAACAAACCAGATCCCACCAGCAGCACAACATCTCTACTGATCCTGTACAGCAAAATTAGAACACTCCCAGTATTTCTGTCCACAACCCTCCCCAAGGCAATACCGTTCTACAGTGACCAGGGCTTCTCTGACAGCACTCTGCTGGTCTCTTCCCATTATCTGCTAACAAGAGAACGGATACATTTCCACAACATGAATTGGGGCTGTTTACACCACACTCAGGACTGAGTCTACCATTTCCACAACATGAATTGGGGCTGTTTACACCACACTCAGGACTGAGTCTACAATATTCTGACATCAGACAGGAAACTGAAATAGTCTGACATGAAGAAGAAAAATTACTTGGAGGGCACTAGTTCAATTAAACCCAACTTTCTAAAATCACGAGGACGCAGCTCTATCACTTTAACAATCTGCCCCTCAGCTACAACACTGCAAATAACTGAAAATACTGCCAACTAGATTTAGATTTCTAGCTATGCAATGACTACAATGTTGAATTTCTCAGTTTTTAGAAAATAACTCAAGTAAAAAAGATTACATTTAGGAAGACTAATTTGGCTCACCTGTTTTCCTAGTCCCACAATGTACACATTGATAGACACTGTGTAATACATTCAAGCAGACAAACGGACTGACCAATAGAAGACACAAGATAATAAAAAGACAAAGAGTTTTCATAATCGAGAAGGTAAAACAATTAGAAACACTTACTCTGAAGAATAGGACTGGAAAGGTAATTAAATTGTTTTGAACACTGACAAATATTTGGTAGAGAACAAAATTTAAGATTCTACAACTAGAGGTAGGTTCTCAAGAAATTAGCAAACTTGATTAAAAATGGGGCTGGAGAGATGGCTCAGCGGTTAAGAACACTGGTTGTTCTTGTAGAAGACCTGGGTTCGAATCCCTGCATCCACATGGCAGCTAACAATTGTCTGTAACTCCAGTCCCAGGGGATCCAACAGCCTCTTCTGACCTCCACGGGCACTGCACGACACGGGTGCACTTACCTACATGCAGGCAATACACGCATACACATAAAATAAAAATTTTGAAGAAAAACAGAATTTAGCCTAGGAAACATACAGAGGAATCAATGAGTCTTTTTGTTTGCCTTGTTTTGTTTTGAAACATAGTCTTCCTGTAGCCCCGGCTGGCCTGGAACTTGCTATGCAGACCAGGCTGGCCTCAAAGTCACAGAGACCTGCAGGCCTCCGACTCTCAAGGGCTGGGATTAAAGGCATGTGCCACCACGCTCGGCAAAGGCAATGGCTCGTGGTGAAGGCCAACTTTAAATAGTAACTAGGGGGACGAGGTGAGCACTGCCTGAGGTGATGAGAGAGAGAGAGAGAGAGAGAGAGAGAGAGAGAGAGAGAGAGAGAGCTCAGAGGTTAAGAGCACTGGCTGCTCTTGCAGAGGACTAGGATTTGGTTCCCAACACCCACATGGTGGCTAATAACTGACCATAACTCCAGTTCCAGGGGATCCAATGTTCATTTCTGGACTCCATGGGCACTGCATTCATGAGTACACTTACATACATGCAGGAAAAATACTCACAAAATAATTTTTTTTATTAAAAAAATAACTAGTTGCACAGAAGGTCCCAGTTTGTCTCCTATCTCCCTATTTAGATGATAGTAGGTCCCTTTAATATCATGGACCAGAGGCAGCCCAGTATTAAAATTTCAAACTCTTTCTACATTGCCCCAGTGAATAATGAAGAGACAGAATAGTTTTTTTCAAAGACTTCAGCCGAGGCATGATGTCATTAGTAATCTTGAACTGCAAAAGCAGAGGACCCCCAGTACCTCTGTCCATCAATTTTTCTCTTGGGGTAACACTTCCTACCTCACCAGGAAGGTGCCAGCACCTGACCATGGTCCTTCATGTCATGGCACAATCTGGAACCTCCACAGATCTTTCAAGGTAACAGTACTGCACAATGGCCAATTTCTTGATAAGTTGTCCAGATTCTTAAAATTACAGGGGCTTCTGTGTGAAGGACAATTTGTGTACCATCTGTTGCCCCAGGAGTTGCTGGTGCTGCCATCTGAGCAAAGTGTCACCCAGATGTAATTATCTACACAGGGCCATTCTTGTCAGGGTGAAGGAGGAGGTTAAGATGGAAGGAGTGTTAGGACTCCCTACTAAGATAACAGTAGATATGGGCTTGAGCAGAGGGACAAAGGGCCAGCCCTTTGTCCATGGACTCTTCTAAGGTTAGGAAAGGTCATCGAAGAAGACAGGAATCAACTGGGGGTACAGCATCAGCCTGGAAGGCAGATGTGCACAGGGCCAATCTCTGGGTTTAGGACACGGAGTATTTTGTACCTTTCAGCCCTGAGCGGATGACAGTGGGAGACAAGTCATCATAGTTGTTCATTAAGCTGATGTCTCCTGAGGTGAAGCTGACGGTGAGCAGAGGCTTGATGTTCTGCACAGGGATGGGGTATGATGCAGGACCATCTGTGGAAACACAAGGGCTGAGTGAAAAGCTGGCAATGGGCACAAAACCCGATCTAGGCTGCATTCTTGCGCAGTGCTCTAAAAGATGTCTAATAATGCAGGTCCCGCACTGCAGCACTCAGGAGTCACACAGTAGAGCCCAAGCAGAGAACACTGGAAGAAGGAACAGATGTGGGATATGCAGCCCCAGAGGCAACCAAGGGATGTATGAAAAGTTTACTGAGTTGTATGTCAATGCCTCATATGATTCTTCTGATACTTTAATGTAAATTATTTGAATGTTGTGCAACGTAAAGAACGGTGGGAAGGGAGGTAAGAATGTTTTCAATCCAGATCAATGCAGAGCAAAACTGCTTTGCAAAACTAAATGTTCTCCACTGATGTTACGGGCAATGAGCATCCACAGCAGAACCATTAGCTTACTGAAGTTTTTACCACAGGTGACATAAAGTCAGTAGAGAAGGCTGAGCCTAGATGTAGCTCATAAGGTATTTGGCTACATGTGGAATACATGGGCAGCCTAAGGAAGCCCTGCTTGCAAAGCTTTAAGAGCATTCCTATATGACAGGCCATGGCCTAGCTCTCTCATGTGTTGTTTCAGGAAGTAAAAGTCCCTGGAGATGGTATGGTCTGGGATCTTGGGAATGGGAAGCCTGTATCTGCGCCACAGTCATGCTGAGCTCATCTCAGCAGGCACTCGGGGTGGCCTACCTGACAGTCACCTGTTGGGAACCCCAGACTGCTTTTCTTTACTTCATTCTAAGACACCTAAGACATGGGGTTACACTACCTCTGCACTCAAACCCATCTGAAAGATGGACACATGTAACATGTGCCCCCAAAGTGCCTGACTACTTCTGAGAAGAGCAACTCTGGTCACAGACACACCTGACTATCTGCCACCTTTGATCAACTTTGGGTTTGTTTTGTAACCTTGGTCTCTGCATTCCTTTTTCCCCCTAACAAAACAGGGATGAGTAAATCTGGACTCTAGCTACTAGACAGAACTTCTGTTTTAAAGGTATGCTAAATGTACTTCATAGACACTGACTTTATTACCCCAAGGCTGTAGAAATATGAACATTTTGCTCAAGACTGGTATCCATTAGGAAAGGAACAGTTATCTCCCAAATAGATTTATGGGTGCTAGGAACACTTTCCCTCCTAAAACTGATATTGAAACTCCACTGCCACTTTTTTCACATAGGAAAAACACCTTCTCTCCACACACATGCACATGAATGGGAAGCATCACTCTGTCTCTGTGACTGGAGAAGACAAGCACCAGAGGAGGCACTGTTGAGGTGGGGCCCTTTTATACTGTCCCTCGGTCCACTCCTTCACAGGATGGCATGCCCCATGATGACAAGAAAGATCTAAAACCATCTAGTGCATGCCTTCAACTGAAGGGCACACAGTAGTGCCAGTCAAGGACAGGAGCCCGCACCTATATGACACTTTTTAAACAAGGAGTCATTCCCTTCCATCACTCCATAATACATTTTTCTTTTAACAAGAAAGGGGGGGAAAGGGAGGAAGGGAGGGAAAGAGGGAGGGAGGGTGGG